CAGCTGTTGTCCGTGGGAATGCTGAACGCACACTTCAAACGTTTTGCCCAAAGATAAGCGCATTTACAAGTTAACTGCTGTAAATGTAGGAGGAGAAGAAAGGGCAGAGAGGAGAGAGACGCAGAAGAGGAGTGTGAGGAAGGTGGAAGGAGACGGATTGTTTTTCTTATTAAATCATTAAATCTTAAACCGGTACGCTCTGACTCGCCTCACGGCGTCCTGCGTCTCTTGTCTACTGTTAGCTGGAGCCAAACTCATTGTTCACAAATGTAAAATAAGGAGCTCATGGTCTCATAGGCAGGAGCGAAGAAGCTCTGCTTGAAGTTAGCTTCTAGGCACACGCTGCAAATAGTCAATGTGGTGTTTCACAGGTGGGCTGGAGACCATTCCTAAACATCCAGTGGTTAATAAAAACCCAGAGGAAAAGACCCGTCCTTTGGGATTTAGTGAGGGGGATTACACACGGCGGGTTGGGCTGAATGTTGGACTTGTTTGCGCAGAAATACAAACTTTTGTCAAGGGTGTTCAAGAAAGTATGTGCGATCTACCTGAAGGGAGGTCGTCCCGAAGGCAAACTAGCGCGGTTCCCTTTGGTCAGAAATTGTCTGAATGTCCCCTACGGAGTCATTACCGCTGCCTCGCAGAATTCAGAACCCCAGACCAACCAACCCAGCGTGAAGGCAGCCACAGGCTCCAGTCCTCTACCGTGTAACCCCGAAGAAGGACGCTTTTGTAAATAGCTTGAGATCTTACACGCTCTGTGTGTAACGGGACCGTAGGCCGTCTCCAGCGCTTCTATAGACCTCCTTTTAGTTCACGCGAAAAACATTGCACTACATGATTATATTTAGCTACCGCACTACTTCCATGTGCACGCACTGCTAGCTTAGTCTGTCAGAGCACTCCGTCAAATATCCACTTAACATTTTGTCCAGGATGCACTTTGCCACCAAGAACCATTGACTGCAGGTCCATTCGTGACCCGATCAGAGTGACCACGAGCCATCAGTCGCGCCGCGTCGTGGTATCAGTGGCTTCCCCGACTGACTCCGTCGGTCTGCAACTGTGTTCGTCCGCGCTTGATGTGTCAGTGTATGAGATCCTCAGATCTCTACCGCCCTCCTTGTGTCCGTGTGTGTGTTTCCCCTCCGCCCTCTTCACCCTGAACCACTAGCAGTCCCACCCCCGTACGGCCTAAAGGTCTCCACTGGGGCACCTTTTCTCGAGGGCCGCATGCAGGCTCCCAGCAGTCCTTTTGTAAGGTAGACTACGATGACTCTTCCAGCCCTACGGCTAAATGCGCCGCCGGTTGGGACAGTTTTAAGTTCAGTCGACCCCCGTAGGGGCTCTTCTGCCGGTTCATCTGCTCAGTTTTCTAGCTGGGCAGATGAACCGGCAGCCGTTGATTCTTAATGCCTGTGAACTACTTGTTGGATTTTGCCCAGTTGTTTGACCCCTCTAAGTATGTGAAAAAAAAAGGATTGGTAACAAAAATGTTCTGTTTGTCTGTACGTCGAACAACACAGCGAAGTGAGGAAATTGACAAACTTGTTTTGCTGATTCTCCTTTTAATACCTTTACAAACTGAACGGACATGCTTCAACTAGAAAAAATGATTGTTCGGCTCGGTAAATGTGTTATTTCTCTCATAAATAGGTATATTTTTGGAATTGTACAATCCTCAACAAGTCAGGAAAATAATCCGACATGTCGTAACCATCTGCCCACCCTGCTTCCAGACAAATACAATGTTCAGGGGTGAATGGAGGAAGATAAATGAATTCACTCCATCTACTGAAAGCTGTGAGGCACGGCCACCTACGCACCTGAATCTTTTATACAGAGTTAGAAAGATACATTTTTATTATATTTAGACTCCCTTATCGGTAAAACACAAACACAAAATGGTTACATCAAACTTCTTGGGTCTGATTAAGTCTCGTTCATGACTGGGTAGAAACCAAAGAACCCTCATATTGCTGATCAACGTGATCCAACACCGACGATTCTTTAAACCCTGCTGAAGGCCCCTGTATGTTACAAGCGACCGAGTCAGGCCCACGTTAAAGGAAATATCCACTCCAACTACAAATACCCGCTGGAGACAATGGATTTTTGTGCCAATCCTCAGGCCACATATTTGGGGATCCGGTGTCATCATGTCGGGAAATGGTGGTTTTATCTTATCACAGGGATGTCAAAGCATAACTGAGTAACTATCTGCTTCCTGGGATACGAGAAGGGAGGACTCGTCCGGTTTGTTGGTACCACGACAACATCACGACTCACCCGACCTGCAGTGGCTCCGTTAATCTGAAAGCGTTCATATCAACCTTTGATCCATAAAGCTTCACTCCACATCCGCCTCCTCCGTTACCGTCACCATTTTAATCTTAAGTTCTCTGGTTTTGTTCAAATGTTTTGCTGTACAAAGTGTTTAAAATATTATTTGTATTATATGATGTTAGTATGGTAATGTTCTTTATTAAGGAAGAAGAAAATTTATTTTTG